TCCAGCGGTCGGTAGGCCGCTCGGGAGGATCCCGGCAGGGGCCAAGTATACAGCGGACTGTATCGGCGGCCGCCGCAGACGCAAACCCGTCCGTCGAACGCTGCTGGCGGAAGATAGCAGGAGTCAAAAATCATAGTTGATCGTGTCTCTTCATCGCTTGTCCGAGGATTCGCTTCCGAGTACAGATCTGGTTTCGGTAGTCTCGCGGCTCGGTATATATCTGCTCGCGTGGCCTCTCGCCTCGCGAGTTCGCGGTGCGCGCGGTCGCCACCCGTCGGCGGCGTTGGTACTAGCGGCGCGCGTGGCGGTGCGCCGGGGCCCGCGGTTTCGCGGCCCCGAACTCCTTACAAAGTTGTGAAGGCATCTGCATATAAACAAAGTAACTGCATTAGTACAAAAGAACAAACGTATACACTAAAATAGATCGTAATGGTGTGATACAAACCTGTCATAAATATAAGTTTTACTCTTATGGGTACTCAGCTGGCTTGAAACAAGCCGGGAAAGATTTTTAATCCATGCAAAGTCATGAACATTACGGTTGGGCGTTTCTAGCATCAGCAGGTTAACGTGACGAAATCTTTTGTTGGTGGTGAGTTGGAACGGAGCACACCTTCTCACATTCAAGCCCCAGAAATGAACGTTTATTGAAACATCGTTTTGACGCTCAAATTTTGGTATTTCATTAAAGGTTATTGAAAATGCGATGCCCTCCAAATTTAAAACGGTGCCATAGTTGGGATACGATGATGGTAGATTTGCATTCACATGGACGGGATATAATGCCGCAACTATCGATCTGATAGAACACGTATCATCGTCAACTGTCACATTTACTATCGCTCTTTTGTCCTTGATTGTTTTTGGTATGTCGGTGTAATAACCAGCATGCATCGGATTGCATTTATTGATGTTTAACATCAAATGCAGAATTTTCGATAACGCCCAACCGCTGTCCCGTTCCTGAAATTCTTCCATCAGTGTTAAAGTTGAGTTCACAACGTATTTGTCATACCAATCGTTCAAGTTCGATGTAGAAAATAATTGTTTATTTCTCACTCTGAAACTTTTCACATCACTTTTATTATTAACGATAAACTCCCCATACAACACCGTATTCACTTTTATGCATGAATAATTTTGGAAAACTTCCGCTAGACGTTGGAATACTATTTTCCTAGCATCTTCCAAAAAGTTTTGTGGGTCGATATGCTCGGTGTTGATTATAATTGCTGTAGTTATCCGGTTATGGAAAGCTGATTCTACATCCTCCCAGATAACAGATGATGATGATGTATGTGATTCAGCATCTGTTCTCCCTTGACCTTCACCTACTTTTACAGATCCGTGTAACTCTGCTCTTAACGATTTAAATCACGCTATCCTGGCTGTTAAACTATTTTTCAAACCAGTTGATAAGTCTTTTTCCAGTTGCAATCGCTGTATCATTAAATCAATGCATTGATTGCATTGCGCTAGACATGTGTCTCGGTCGTTGTTACTACTTATGGCTGTAATACGTTGTGTCAAAAGTTGTTCTATACAAGCAAGTTCGTTCAGTAATATTGCCTTTTGACCACTAGGATGATCTTTGTCATGATACAATGTCCTACGCAAGGCGTCGATTCTTTCTTTGTATGCTTCTATATCTCGCCATCCTTCGTCTCCCATTTGTAATCGTTCGTCTATCAATTCGATGCACTGGTCACATTGCATCGCTATCACAACGCTCATCTTCGGTACTAATGTTTATCACCCGCTGCACCAATAATTCGGTGATGCGTTCGAGTTCCCGCAGTATCGTGGCCTCCATTTCCCTTTTCCACAAACGCGTTAAGGATCCTTGCACTTCTGATTGTCAAACTACATATGACACACATTGCCGATTTCCTCCTATTTTTATTAAAGTAGGGCTGTCATTGACGAAGGTGTTTAATTACAGTCACTCTGCAGCGTCAACAAAACAACCTCATTTCCAAGACGTAGAAATAATTCGTTCAAGGTCATGAGCAAAACCCCTACCTTCTATAGTCGCGAATTGCAGCGTCAGATTTGCTGCGCCAACAAAAAATCTCATTTCCAAGATGTAGAAAAAAAGTGGGCGGGGTCTTGTCTTCCGATAAGAAGAAATAGTTTAAGGTCATGGGGGTAGGGATGGGGTGTCATATTTCTGCTGAGGGAGTGGGGTGGGGTGAGGGTGTCAAGTTTCAGTTCAAGGTCATGGGGTGGGGAGGAGATATCATATTTCTGCTGACGGTGTCAAATTACTGCTAAGTCAGCAAAAATATGCTGACCCCAGTGATTTAGAACCCGCATAGTATCACTACTTTGTCTCATCGATACAAATGCGACACAGATCTTCTAAGGAAAGCCTCGCCGTGTCTTGCTCCCGGGCTTGCTCCGAGTGGAAATCCCCCCCAGTGGTGGGGATAAATCGCGAACACTTAACGAATAGATCCTTTCGAACACTTATCAAGTCTTTACTGTACTTCGTAACATTTTCACGACGTTATTGGTCTTCCTTTCCAACTACAAACTGGAACTGGAACTGCTAGTTCGAAGTAGGTCATGGTTCGTGATCATAAATCTGTTATTCTCGAATATATCTCGAAAATATCTCGAAAACTAAGGCCGAGCGGCGGTTATATGTATAGGAAAAAGTTGTTCAAAATGTTGATTTCTACAACATATTTATGAATCATCGAAATCGGAGTTGCAGCCCGTAACCTAAATAATTATCAAAAATGTTTATTCACCTGAAATAAAATTCTGTGAAAGGTGATAGTGACCGTGTGGTTGAGTGAGTTCAATGATCTCGTCTGGAGGTCAGCTGTTCTTCGTAATGAGTTTCCTCCTCGAATGTTCAGGATCGACCCAGTGACCCAATGGGTCACTGCTTTCAGCGTAGCAGGTTAATTTAGGAACGAATGGGTAAGTTTCATTTAAATTGTTTTCAAATTTTTCATCATTAACGTAGCCTCCAATTCAAACGTTTATTAATTATTCCATTTCAAACATTTTTATTTGTTGTTTAGAATGCTTAGAATTTCCTTTTTTACATTATTACAGGCGTCAAGAGATTAGGTTCCGAATTCATTCTAAACAACGACTAAAACCAGTTCAATTTTTTTATTGTGCTATACCAACGGGGTGCCGAGTCGTTCATTTACGACCTACGTCAAGCCCCGCTTTCCTAGCCGACGCTGCCGTCCCTGAGCCCGCTCGCTATGTGCGCTCTGATTCGCCAGTGTTTTTTCTTAATATTTCAAAAACGAAGCTTCAAACAACATTTTCGCAAAGGAAAATGTTGTTCAGAATCACCCCAGCTACCACCCGTTCGCGAGACCAACGCGAATTCTGGGGCACCCTGTATTGTACAATTGTGAGTTTTGTTATGCGTAGCACTGACTTTAAATTATCAAATTAGATTAGTTATGCTAACATTTTTTACCAAATTCTAAAATTATTTTTCTTAAAAACAACATTCAAAGATTCAAAGATGACAAAACAATAAATGTATTTGAAAACAATATGTTTTATGTCCTAAATGCAAGCTATAATAGTTATAAGCCTAGATATAATGAGATTATGTTATATGTTTAAAGAAAAGAAAACTTGCGACGACAGCCGCGGATCGGCGTCGCGCATCGCGGGCCCCCACCGCGGCGGCATCCCCACTCCCGAGTAATTAGACTATAAGTAGGACCGATCGATGCGCGGATCGATGAGTTGCCTCGGGGCTTCGGCCCCGAGGGGACCTCCTCGGAGGTCCGGACCGGAGCACCAGAGCTCTCGACGCCATGGCTGACCTGGCGAAGAGATCTCTGGCCAACGGGCCGTAGCATTGCACTACGCTACGACCTGGCAGCTCCCCTAGGTCCAGCGGCCGTAGGCGCCTAGCCTCGTCAGTCCCGTGGTTGACCCGGGGTGACCAAGCTAGTGCGCGTTCATAATCTCTGCTGGTGCTTCCGCGGGGATTCCGAACGCTAGCTTACTCGGCACCGCAATTTGCCTTTGGCAGCCGATTCCGTCCAGCTTTGTGGCGTTACCCAGGCTGGCCAGGATTGGTCGTCGACTCGTTCGCTGTTCGGTTCTACCTCGGCGTACGAGAAGACGAGCCGCGTGAGGCAAGCGGGCCGCAACTCCACCGCAGCGCGAAACACCGCAGCGCGATTGAATAAACACCGTCGGCCCAACCGGGCCAATCCCATCCCGACTCGACCTCTCTTGCGTTTGCGTATGTTTGCGTTTGTTTGCGTTCGCGCTCCGTTCAGCGCTTTCACTCCGCGCTCCGACATCGCGCCGTTAGCTTGTAAGACCGCGTAGCGATGGCTACGACCTGCGCTAGAATTAAGGCCGCGTACTTTCTGTGACGGACCGGGTTCCGACCGTAGTTCATAAGTCCTGTACATTAGGCTTAAGCTTGGCTCCACGCGTCTAACCACCAGACGATACTCTGATTGTAGCTCCCGAGGCAGGAGAGCACCGCCCGACCAGCCGGCGAGGGCAGCCGCCGCTAGACGCCCCCCCACTCTTTGACTGAATAAACCTTTTATTTTTCTACTAACACCGACTCATTATTTACCGACCTGTTCCCATGCGAACCCTGGCACGGGGAAAACCGCCGCGGTGCGCAACGCCGTGCGCACCGAACCGACCGACCCCGTTACAAACTATTGGCTTTGAGTTAAGTGAACAATACATAGGTACACTCGGTCTGATATGGTATGGTCTGATAAAATATGATATGGTCATAAGTTAGGCATAAAATCAACACATTTATTGATGTGACGACACCCAATGGCGAACGGATAAAAATGTCAACACCTTAGACAGAGCGAGAAAAACTAATTCTGATTTTATATCCTATGATTTTGATTGAGGCTCGAGGTTCTTATCTCTCGAAAACTTTTATTTAGGTGTACGAATTTTATGTCCATTTGCGATTAAACAATTTTATGACCGTATTATATTTCGGAAATGGAGTATAATTAATTTACCGATCTAACGCTTCTTCTTGTTGACAATGTGCCGCATAAGCTACGGTTAATCCTTTATGACATCTTTTGGTTTGCATTGCAGACACATAAAAGACAAAATCAGCACCATCTATTCCTGGACCGGCCTTACTTCCTTCTGCTATTCTACAGTCATGTCCTGTTGCGTTACACGTTCTGCAAACCTGTAAAATTAGATAAATACATTGTAGATTTAAATTTCAGATTTTAAATAGGTTTTAAATACTTTAAGAATCTGATTTGGTGCGATTAATAGCATCAAATCAGGTTCTTAAAAAACCACGGCACAATAAATTAAACTTACAGAATGATAAGGTAGCAATCAACTTTATAGAGGAAGACAAATACTGCACTGTAATATTTTTGAATATAGAAGAGCCTTCAATAAAGTTCAGCGCAAAGAATTGCTTTCAAAGATTCTACAGGGTGATCCTCTCGTTAGTAGACTCAAAGGCAGTACTGCCACAAAAGCACGAAGAGGCCCAAGACCTTTTTCTGTCATCGATACCTCGACGGCGATGTCTCGTGCAGCTGAGAAAATCTGTTTAACGGAAAGGAAAATCCCATCCCATTTAAATATCGTGGAGAACAGAGTAAGACTTTCCTTTCCGTTATATGCATCTTCACGCACACGACCGTCTCAGCTGCCGGAGATATCGCCATCAGGATATCGATGACAGAAAAGAAACATGCGCCTCTTCATGCTATTGTGACAGCACTGCTTTTGAGTCCATTGGTGAGTGAATCAACCTTTATGCCCGCTGACTTACATTCGGCTGCCAAATACACGGACAGAAGTAAGTAAAGGAAGGTTATGTCGGGGCGCCAAATCGATAGATTTGGCGATAGAAGTAACGGTTATATGACGTCATATAGAACTATCTATACTAATACAAATTGTGTACACCATATGAGGGTTAGTGGTGTGGTGTAGCAGAGAATAGTTAGGGGGCATATGCTACGGACAAAATTTGTCCTAAAAATCAGGAATGTGTATCCTCTTAATGAAGCTTAGAATAATCTGTGTTGTAACGTTATCTAAAAAAGAAGGGCTGTTACCCTTCGCAATTGATTAATCAATCAATGTATGTAGTATAATCATGAGCACTAAATTTGGGACGATGAAATTGCGAACGGTCTCGCCTTTGGATGTAGTTATACTACAATGTTATAGTGCAATTTTGATGTTGAAGATTGATTGCAAATTTTGATATTGCAAACTTCCTCTACTATACTGAAGCAATTGAACGGTGCATCAAGCTCATTACTGAGGCTGCAAGGAAGATACATAGAACTAATAACGGAGATGAATTCATAAAGGCACTTCCTTTCATATGCTCATATTTAAAAATAAATCCCAATTTATAAAACAATTGGATAACAAGTAAAGTATATCATCGCCTTTTACATAGTTGGTGAATAAGCTGTGAGTAGTTTCTTACAGTAAGGTGTTAACTAACTAAGACTATTATGCTTTCTATTTGTGAAAATTTTAAGGAGGAGACCCCTTTGAGGCTTATTTTGAATCTATTTAAACGCCGTTGTAATGAAACAGGCATTAACGCAAACATACAATTAGTAAATTGGATATTTGACGATGTGACATCTAACATCATTATGCAGAATAATAAACGAGTGTAACGAGCGTTTCTAGGTGTCGCGCCCGTCTCTAGACGGCCTTGCGAAGGCCCTCGCGTGATGAGCGAAATAGAGAGAACGGCCTGAGACGCGAACGTACGCACATCGACGACGAAAAGACAACCGCTAATATTATTATAAGAAGATTTGGACGGAACCACCAGAAAGTGGCTGAGCTGCCCCGACGTCGTATTTGTCACTCAAGAATCAAGGAGACGATCTGCGTACGATCCGAAGACATCATCCTTCGACGCATCCAGAAAATTGTAAGGGTTATCCGCCGTCTATTACAAATGTATAACACAAATGAGCCATAATTATAAAGTATCGTTCAACACGTCAGTGTATTATCTTTTAAAATGTTACAATGGCGCCCAACTTACGACAAAATTAAGTAAGATTAATTTTGGACCTCAATATTTATCGTCAATATAAGTACGTACAAATTTTGCATTGTGCATGGAATCCGGAGATATATATATATATAACAAAGTCAGGCAGACTATCTCGTAAAATTATTAACACTTACAACACCGATAAGCGTATAGGAACAAAGAAAAAGCAGACAAAGACGATGTTCGTACCAAGGGAAGACGAGATTGAAATGCCCAAGACGAACGAAGAGACGCAGAAACAACGAAGTCAAATGGCCAGACAGTCGGAAGAGTTGCGGAAATTGAAAGCTGAATTGGAGACGGCGCATAAAGAAATAGAAGAGATACGAAGAGTCAACGGACATCGGAATCCAGCGGACAACGCACAAGATGGCGAACAGCAGGATCGCGAGACGATCACAGCGAGAAACTTAAGTACATCTGAGATCTGTACTCTTGTGGGAAATATGAATATTACACAATTAGATATTAAGTCACCTAAATTTACGGATGAAAACGAACATAACCCGCTCGAATTTCTTGAGAATCTGGAAAAATTTTTTCGTGTTAAAAATATAAAAAACGATAAGAAATTAATTGGCGTAGAGATTGCATTAGAAGGAAAAGCGAAACTTTGGTTTAATTTACAGCAACTAGAATCTTTCGACGAGTTTAAAAGTGCCTTCAGCAATGAATTTTATTCTGTACTAATTCGAGTAAAAGTTAAAAGTAAATGGTCGAGTCGTAAATACCGCGAGTCGGATGGTGGTTTGCAAACGTACTATTATGAACAACTCAAGCAAGCTAATTATATGTTGCCGAAATTGCTCGAGTACGAGAAAAATTATACGATTGTCCAACAGTTTCCGTTTTAGGTAAAAGAGGCGTTGACCTCTGTAAATTTCGAAGATTCAAATTCAATCAGCCAGACGTTAGCTTACTTACAAGCAAACCTACGGAAGTGTCAGACTCCGATTTTTCTGAAATTTTTTAACGAATATCATGTATGCAAAACATTCACTTCACATAACTAACAATAAATGTCAAAAGTTGATCTCATTGAATTTTGAAAGCCCCATGTCAAGTTACTGTTTATTCAAGTAATTTTTCTAGGTTTCGTCCACCATATTGGATCCACCATATTGAATTTTGAAAATCTGATTTCAGATTCGAATTCAGCGATTTAAAAAACCAATATATTAAAAAGATCGAACAGTTAAAAAATATAGTTCCACAAGGTGTTTCATGCGCAATGCCAAACGAGCGCGGCAATTTAGGAGCTGTTTACCCCCCAAATATTTATATAAAACAAAACAAAAAATATGTGTTCCATAATTAACTTTCCTCTTGAAGTTTTAACAGATTTTACTTCGATCAGATCAAAACTGATTTTTTGCAGCAAGAAATTGGTCAGTTTAGGGGTAGTTCACCCCCTAATTTTCACTCCTCTTCCAACACACCTAGGCCGACTTTCGTCTTCTATCGAAAGATACTTTCATACCAAAAATCATCAAAATCGCTTCACTGGTCTCAAAGATATCGCAATTTTTCCATCTTACCCCCCATTTTCGAGGGGTCGTTTCATCTCCTAAAGGTGTTTTTCCGCCGATAAAAAAAAATACGTGTCCCTTAGTTTTTCATGTATTATAACATATCCAAATTTCAGAAAAATCGGAGTCTGACACTTCCATAGGTTTACTTGTTAGACGCGGTGCACGCGGAGAGGCAGAGGGAACGCGAACGTAAACATTAAGCCTCGTAGTGACTTGTGCATTTTGCCCAAACAAATGCTCTTGGCGAACGAACGTGAAATTTCTTCGGCTGTTCGCGCAAATCTTTCTACCTGGGGTACCGTAAACCTTTGTATCTGGGTTCTATGTAGAAAGGTTCTTTCTACCGTAAACCAGTCGAAGTCAGAATGTCGACAGGAACAGATGTCACGATCGTCAGTGCAGCGTATATTATTATGAACACAATAATTAAAAGAAAAAGAAGAAGAAAAAATCAAGATAAACGATGGTGGATTAGTTAGATGTATAAAAATAGAGCAACCTCTAGTGGTGAAAAACTAGTTAGAGATTTACAGGTAGAAGCTAGTGGACATTATAAAAATTTTGTGCGGATGTTATCAAAAGATTTTGAATTTTTAATAAACGCTATCGGTCCCAAAATTCAAAAAAACGACACCAGATTCAGAAAAGCTGAAATGACGGTGAAGGAACGCTTAGCTATAACGCTACCTTAACGTTTTTTAACAACGCGAGATTCATATACGAGCCTTCAAGTATCTGTTTAAAGTATCCAAACAATTAATATCAAAAATTGTTCCGGATTTCGAAAATCAGTTTATGACGGTTCATCAGGCCATATCATAAACTGAGTTTTTCCGAAGGGTAAATTCGACAGCGGTCGACTAACGGTACTTGGAAATTTGTAATCGGCACAGTAGAATTGTTCGCACGAATATCCTTTGATGGACCGACAGCCGTCGGAAAGCGTTCGTTCGTGCCCAGGGCCTTTGCGAACTCATAACGGATCGTTTTCGGCGCACGAATGCTCTAGTGAGTACGAGGCTACAGCGGTCAAAAAGCGTTCCTTCGTGCTCTGGGCCTTCGCGAACACATTAACGGGCCGTACTCACTTGAGCATTTTTGCCCGAAAGAACGTTTTCGGCGCACAAATGCATAGGTCAGTACGAGGCTTTATGCGCAACCGACCGATTGACCAGGCGTTAGAGTAAGACAGATAGACGTGTATAGAAATCGTATGGTAAATAACAATTTTCGAGGTCGGTGGAACTACGACCACGGTAACCGTCAATATTATAATAGAAGAAGTTCGTACACAGAAGAACCGTCGCCGAACTTTTGCGAAAATAACGTGCGTAAATCGATGACGCAACACAGTTTGCCGGATACGCGCTATCCTCCACCGGGATATAATGGAGATTTTAATATGCGTGTACCACAGTCTGAATCGTAAATGAATGTTAGATTGGATCATTTAAACTAAAGGCGGACGCGTTGAATTACGGTCCGTCAACGTGTGGTCAAATATGCGATTTCGTAGACCAATTTGTAGACTTTATTCGTCAACGGCTAAATCGAGAATGATCTGTTTTACATCTTTTGTTAATAACATTCGTTGTCATA